ATGGATGGATTAAACAGATGATTGGTGACAGATGATAGATAATAAAGAGATAATAGATAATGATGATAATGAGAAATTAGAGAGAGACAGCATATTCACAGCTTCTATCTCTAGCCTTGTAGGGATGTTGTCATGGCCATGTTGAAAGCCCCAGATATCTAGGAGCTGGGTTCATATTCCACTGGTAGCTTCTTGAGCACAGTGTGAAGCAGTCCTGACTCTAGGTTACTGTTTTTCTCAGAGCATCCACCTCAGAACACTAGGAGGAAGATAAACTGCCCCCACCCTACCAAATATGGCTTCCCAAATATGGAAGTAACCCAGTATGTGGAGGTGACCATCTGCTGGGCAGGATATTTTCTCCGAGTTACTGTAGATTTTTGTACTTCTCATTGTTTCCATGTGGAAAGTGCAGTTAGCTCCATTGTGTATATCATGAAGTTGCTCAAGGGAAAAACTTCACAAAGAATTTTGATTCAGTTGGAAATACAAAATACCTGTATTCAAAAGTAACACAATTCAAGGCAACTTGTTCTTATTCATCCAAATGACAGATTCAGCTGTTTCCAGAGCTCTTCCATTCATCAATCATTTACTCCAGTGTTCAAAACATCGTGAAAATAATGATTCACACCTCGTCTGAGGTACCCAGCTGTCATCCATGGACTCAGAGTACATACATTATAGGGTTCATTTATCAAGGTTCAAATACTTGGCTGCAGCTGACATTTAACAAGGGACGGCAGAGAAGAGTACACAGCAGGAGTCTGCACAGAAAACATTTGCAAAGCACATTTCCAGGGACACCATCTTCGAAAGCAGAGCACAGGGTCCACAGTAGAAAAGGGACCTGTGACCCCAAACTCCAAACAGTACAAGATTCGAGTAGATGGCTCAAGCTTTAAGGCTCTTTAATTAAACTGAGTAAAGAAACTAAAATGATGGAGAATGGTAGAGAGGAAAATGCAGTGGATTCAAATAATGGTTCTCAAAGTGCGGTTCCTCTCAACAGCCCCCACTCCACCAGCACTGCCTAGAAACTACTAGAAATGCAAATTTCAGGGTCTCTCCTGAGGCCACAGAAATTTGCATTTCTAGAAGTTTCCAGACAGTGCTGGTGGAGGGGGCTGTTGAGAGGAACTACATGTGGCAGAAAGGGCTAGGCAGTTCTTTGGGGTCTCTTTTGTAAGGGCACTAACCTCACTTATGAGGGCTTCACCCTTATTAACTCATCCCTCCAAAGATCTCTACCTCCTAGTACCATCCCACTGGGATCATTTCATCCTACTATCTCAGACCATTCCATGCTCCTAATCTGCACGTCATTAAATGCCTTTTTGTTCTTGTACCTGCTTCCTGAGAACAGACTCTGAAAATCCTCAGGGCCAAGATCTGCTTTTATGGTTTTTTGTTTTGTTTTGTTTTTTTGTCTTTATGAGACAGGGTCTTGCTATATAGTTCAGGCTGGCCTTGAACTCACTTTGTAGCCCAGGCTGGCCTCAAACTTGTGGCAATCCTCCTGCTTCAGCCACCCAAGTGCTGGTATTACAGGTGTATGTCACCATGCCTGGCCCTTTGTGTTTCTTCTTATCCTTAGTATCAACTAAAATACCTAAAAGGTAAAAAGGTAAAAGGAAGGAGGATGAGGTGGGGAGGAGGAGAGGGAGAGGGAGAGGGAGAAGGAGAAGGAGAAGGAGAAGAAGAAGAAGAAGAAGAAGGAGAAGGAGAAGAAAAAGAAAAAGAAAAAGAAAAAGAAGAATGAGGGGAAATCAGTGGGAAAATGGACCAAGGAATGAGTAAACATTCCTTCTTATCTTATCTCCATCCTCTGCTCCCACTGCAGCAGAATGAGCTTCAGGATTCAAATGAACATGAAGAGAAAGCGGAAATTGTCTTTGTTGATCATTTGGCATAAAGATGGACAAGCTAAGTGCACATGCTGGCTCAGGGTTCAGGAGTAAATTGTCCCCAGCTTCAAAATCTGTGTTCAAAAGAACCACACACCTGGACAGCAGCTGCTGGAAATAAACGTTTGTTTAAATGAGAGACAGAGACAAGGGGGGCGGGGAGAGAGAGAGAGAGAGATCTTTCATGAATCTTTCCTTCCTTTATTCATAGTTCAGAGACATTAGGCTTTGGGAAGTCACACTGTTTAGACTGGACCGATTTAAGACCTATCCCCATTCAAACTCCCAGAGATCACGGGACTTTCACGCCAATATAACCTGGCCTAGATGTCAATACCATGCAGTACCATGGTGGAGAAAAGAGAAAAGCCAAAGAGGCCAAGGTCTGGAAATACTCTCCAGGCCATTCCAGGGAAAACAGGGCTCCCCAGAGGGTGGGGCACAGGCCACAGCCCGCCAGCGCCTCTGTGGCGCCATCTCCATCTGTAGGGCAGCTCAGCTGTTCTCAGACTGATGGAGCTGAAGAGCTTTGTTTTCGGAGCCAGTTTTTGCTCACTTTGGTGAATCAAGGGCAGCAATTGCTTAGGAGGAAATGTGTGCCTCTGGGAAGAAAGCAGGAGCCCTCCTTCTGACAGAGGGACCTAGGGGAGGAAACAGACATGCAAAGGCATTCTTTTTGTCCCAAGCAATTTCCACACTCATCTAGAAGCATGGATGGGTGCCGGGGATATAGCTCAGCAGTACAAGCACCTGCCTGGCAAGCACAAGTCCTGAGTTCGATTCCCAGTACAAAAAAAAAAAAAAAAATAGAAGCATGGATGGGACAGTGTGGGTAGCACTGCTGTGGTACAGGGAGAGACTCCCCTTCTTCCCAGGAGACCACAGGGAACCTGGAGGTGAACAATTGTCTTGCAAAGACCCCACTGGTGCCCCTTACCATGTCCCTCACCACCCCATGCCTCCCTCTTGGGGAAGATCAGGGCAGCCTAGAAGCCGGCGTAACTGTGCCGTGGTCCCTTCTCTAGAGGGATACTTCTGCTATCTCCAAAGGGTGGGACTCTGTCCAGGGCCACATCTAGAAAGATCAAAATTATCCAGAGGGGGGGCCATACTAGAACAAGAGAAGTTGATGAATGAAGGACTTTTTATCCAGCATGTTCCTTCAGAAGAGGTAAGTCTGATCCAAGCAGCCCCAGCCAAAGGCTTTTAAGGTGTAGTCTATGTAAGAAGAGCACACTTCCAAAAAAAAAAAAAAAAAAAAAAAAATATGTGTGTTCCCCACCCACAGCCTCAGGGACAATAGTATAGAGAGCTCTTCCCAGTCCTCGTCTCAGCCCAGGTAGTTTATATTTGTAACCCCATGGAAAAGTTATTGGAATTCTAGTGAGTTAATGCCAATCCACCACTTCCACTGCAGCCCATGGCGAGAATAAAGACACTAAGGCATATTTGTAGTTGTGGGGAGCCAAGGGGGTCCTGAGTCTAGCTAGTACAATGGTTAACCGGAACAAAGACTTTGGCCCAGGGGCAACCTGGGTTTCATCAATTCTTGACGAAGGGAGTGGCTCGAGGATGAGTGACTGTGAAAATGGTAAGAAGTACACGAGTGCTGTGAGCTGGGCTAGGTAGGTGGTGTGAAATCACCTGTGCAGTATGCAGAGAGAACGATATGCACAGAGTAATCTGCATGACACAGCGGAGATAGTATCTAATGTTTTGGGGTTGGTACTTCAGCTCTGATGTGTTATCTTCTATGACACAGCTCTCCATCCCCTCAGCTCACACGTTTTATTTGGGAGCTATGGGGACAGGGAAACACTGCCCTGTCACCTCACTTCAAGGACTACACATCAGCACCTGGGTGGACCAATTTGCATTGCTTAAAGCCAATTGAAGGGATAAGGAAAAGTCCTCACCAGCTATATACATGTCAATACGTGGAAATAGGGCCAGGTTTGGCCAAGATGAAGACAATCGCTCTTCTTTCAAGGACAGCCATCCAGGTGGTCCTCCACATAATAGAAGCCAACAGGTTTTTTTTGCGGGGGGGGGGGGGGGGATGGTACTGGAAATTGAACTCAGGATCTTGTGTTTGCCAGGCAGGCACTGTGCCACTAAGCTATATCCCCGGCCCCCCAAAAAGTATTTTTTAAATAGAATCCAGTTTTTAACAGTCACATACATCTCACACTTTCTTTTTTTAAAGACATATGTGTCCTTTGTTTCTCCTTGGTTCATTAAATTTTTATTGAAATATTAATTGCATTTTCTATTTCATATCACTCTTTCAGGTAGAAACTGTTATCAAACTAAAGTTCCCTTCATCCCTTCCCTCAGTCATGTGTCCCTCATTTCTGAGAAGAGGACGCCAGTGTATGGTTTCTATAATTTTATGCATTTATTGTATACATAGGAATTCTTAGATGCTTAGGTTGCTTTGTGTTTAAATTTACACAAGTGGATTCATGCTATACATAGATAAGGTTTGGTAGCATTTTTCATCTGCTTTTATATTTTTTAGATTGGTTTATTTTAAAATGTAACTCTAACTCATCTTAAATTTATATTGACATTTATATTGATTTTCAAAATGTAAACTGAGAGGTCTTCTGACAATGGTACTCCTGAAAGATGTGGTACTGCCCCAAAGACAGGATAGAATAGTTTACATTGCTGTAAAATCTACCAATGTTGACAAAACCACAGAAGTCATAACCATGTAACTTTTCCACTTGGAGAAAACTTTATACTTTTCAAAGCATGTTTTAATCAGCTATTTCAACCTCACAAAAATCTATGAGGCTAGTGGGGGCTCATTTCTTCACTTGTGGGGTGAAGGGATGGACAGTGGTTGGTCAAGATCCTTTTCATGATCTGAGTCAGACCTGATATTCCAATTTTGCATGCAGGTCAATCCAGGCTCAGAAGTACAAAAAGAGTAGTCTGTGTCACGGTCCTGATTAAGGGTGGAAAAACACTTAAAATCTTAGTCATCTCATCCCTCACACAAGGAGTGACCCTTCATTCCCACAGGAGGAAGTTCATTCCAGGATCTGGGCTCCTGCTAATAAAAGCATCACTTGGACACAAGGATGAACCTTATTTAACCACTTTTATTGATTTAGGGAGTATAGGGATCTGATTCTATTGTATGGCAACGTTGTCAGATTTCACTGCTAGAGGCCAGTTTCTGTTACAAAAATGAGAGGCAGAACCTAATTATTTAAATCATTATTGTTAGGATCACATGCGGAAACACTGACTTATCAGAACCTGTGTCTAAAATTGTAACTGAGGGAAAATGGCCCTTTTCATTGCAATATGAGGCCTCATTCCAGAAACGGCTTAAAGTGTTGGAGATGGAAACATTCAAGACAACTGCCATGAGATTCTTCCCCAGACCTGCGGCCCCACCACGTAACCAGGCAGAGAGATGCTCTCCCCGGGCGGCACCAGCAGCATCGCCCTGGTGCACTCAGTCTCGTGGTGTCCCACGCTGTCTGCGGATGGGAGGCTTGGGCAGGCCTGGCAGATCTGGGACGACTCTGTCCCCATCCTGGGCACACTGGCTCCAGGACAGGGATGACTCACAGGAGTGCTGACATAGGCTGCCTTCTCCATTTCCCCAGAAACCGAATATACCTGAAATACTACACATAATCCTCTGGCCCTCCCGGCTATACGTGGATGTTTTTTAAATTAAAATAGAGAATGTTAGGTAAATGCCACCTGAATACACTAATATTTCAGCTCCTGGCTTATCACATAGAAGGATTTGTTTTTATTACTATCGAGAAAGGCTGCGAAACACTTTCTCTTCCTGGCTTGGCTGATGACTCTCGTTTCTCCCAGTTCCAAGCCCTGGATCGCTGCCTTGTACATTAGAGGTTCATAAGCACCTGAAAAAGGAATGAATACACAGGTGCTGGTGCCCGCCGGTGCTGTCAACATCTCCTACTAGCTTGACAGCCTAGAGGAGTCAGCGAGAAAGGGTGTGGGAAGAATTCACTTGGCAACTATAGAAACAGAGAAAAACGATCTCCAAACAGTCCCCTAACAGCCCTTTACCTTGGAAATGGCTGCCTATGAGAACATACACCAAGAGTCTTCACATTACCTATTGTGTGGCTCAGTAACAAACCTTTAGTGTTGCAGCCTATACATCTTCTGAAGGTTCTTCATCCCACACCAGTGTTTCAAAAGTTGAGGTCTAACACTGAAGACAAACTTCTTTAAAAACACTATTATTTGTGGGGACACAAAGCCTGCATCTTCCCCCACTAGGACCCCTGAGTGATGCATGCACCTGGGCATAGGTAGACCCCGGAAAGTGTCAAATGCTGCCCCAGAAGTAGCATCCAGGCGACAAGATAATGTCAGGTGAGTGGACATTCCAGGCAACAGGGTGAGGTGCCTGGGACCTGGCGCTTCTGTGCCACGACACCCAGACATGGAAAGCAGCAGCAGTGCTCTAACTCCCCGGCCCCACGTGGCCTACGCCTGGTCCTTGAGTCGTCTGTCTTGAGAGCACCTTTGAGGGCGGTCGGTGAAAAAAGACAACTGCACAAGTGGCCCACCCTAGAGAGAGAACGTCCTTTCCGGAGGACTAGCACAGTGCCACATCTGTTAGTGTGACCTGAGATGCTGACCTCACTGAGGCTTTGGAGATCTTATCCAGAATTCAGGACAGAAAACCGAAGAGGACAACCAAATGGGACCCAAAGGAGCATCGTTCTATCTAGAGTAATAACGTCATTTCAGACAAACAGTCAGAACCCCTCACAGCCAAGGCTGGTGCTAGGGCAGCAGCCAGGCTAGTGGCCAGCGCACCCGGCTGCTGCCTGCAGCTCAGTTGTAGCAGAGGTAATCAATGAGCCGGGGAGGGATGTTTAACTTGGCGATTTTCTCCAGTCCTCGAACGCCAGTGGCTTTCCTCAGGCTTACCCTGCAGAGCTGGGACAAGGTCAGCGGTGTCTCTGGAAAAAAGGCAAAAGGAAGTCCGTGAGGTCAGATGACTTTCAGGACCGAGCACATCCACAGTCTAGTTGCCTACAATGGAACAGGAAAGGCCACCCTTTGCTCTGAGATTAAGATGCACCCTCAGGCTTCTGGAAGGTGACAAAGGACAGCCAGGGGCTGAGGAAGGAAGACCAGAAAATAGAATTGAGATGATAGCCACAGATTTCATTGTGTGAGTTTTCAGCTTAGGGGAGGGGATTTGGTTTGTTTCTGCTTTGGTGGGATTTTTTGTTTGTTTGCTTGTTTTTTTGTATTTCTGACCCATAATGTTATCATTTGGCACAAAAATTTGTCAGCCAAAAACTACTCCGCAGCAGTAAGGCTCATTTGTGGACCATCCAGCCAAATGCGTGCCAGCGCAGGTGCCAGTAGCTGGCTCCCGCCGGCCCCAACCCCACTTCCGCCCCCGATACCACAGGCCACAGGAAACCAAAGAACTGGTGATCTGTGTAAAACAGCTCCTACCAAGTGCTTAAATGAACACCCTAGTGCACAAAGACAGGAGCCCAGGACTAAATACTAAGCTGTCGTCAGAAACTCAGGAGAAACTAGCAAACCAGGGGGCCTCGCTGAAGGAGGGAGGTGGCTGGCAGCTAACAGAGTGAGCAAGCTCACTTTCGTAGTACTCAAAGCACTTGGCAGGGGCACTGCTGCTCCACGTGTAATCTGACGGCTTCTTCCCCCGGTTGTCCCGAGCATAGATGTTGCCTCCAAACTCAATGAGCATCTCAATGAGGTCGACATTCTTCACCTTGGCCGCATGATGAAGGGCTGTCTCATGAAGCTTTGCTGCATTCACATTGGCCCCTGAAGTCCCGAGGGGAGAACACATGTCACCAAGACCAGAACTTAGAACCAAGAGGAAAACAGGCTCACACTTCTCCATTCAGTACAGCGTGCAAAAGCAGTCCCCACCCAAAACACACAATCAAGACAGACAGATGCTGCTGTAGCTTCTCAAGACAGTTTTCAAAGTCCAAGACTAGTAATATTTTTCTTCTTTCTTTATGAGAAGACATGGGAGCAATAATAAAGAAATACAACTTCACATAGGACCAAAAAGAAGAAAAACAAAACAGAAAGGTTCCTTGTGGTTCAAACGTCACTTCTGGCATCCTGTGCGGTCTGCTCGCAGAGATCCTTAGACTTCTGGAAGCTCAGATTGTGCTACCCAGTGCTCCTGCCTGTCCGAAGACGCAGACACACAGAGCTTCTCCCTACCGCAGGCACACTAAGCTCTAAAGGTACTGGCTGAATGAAAGCTCCTGGCTATTGCTTGCTGGCTATTCCTTACACATAAATGTTCTTTTACAAAATGAGAGAAACAAAGGGAAAATATGTAATGTTCCCCAAACGTGAGCTGAGTTCAGCTTTGCCCTCTTCATCTTTCCGGGAATATTCAGAAAGATGCAAAGAATTAGTAGCTAAATATAGTATTTTTCAAAGCCTTAAAAAATAAAGATTTTGATAAAAGTTCTATTTATGTAAAATATCATTCTCAGGGCACAGTCTTTACTGAGTCCATACAATGTGATCTCCTGGGTCTTCAGAATTTGTCCAGAAAAAAATACTGAGTTCTTTGCGGTCTGCTCCTAAGTACACGAGGAAATTATAAAAGGAGAGAAAAGAATTTTAAAGAACCTGAGCAAAGAGCCCAACATCAATTAAGTAACCCCCCAATAACACATACACAAACCACAACATAAAATGTGCCACCAGCACGCCACTACTTAGTAGTAATTTCAGAAAGATAAGAGAGGGGGAAATTAGCAGGTATAAGGCTATTATATTATTCCAAAAATATTTGAAAATTTTGCTTTGTGCTTTAAAATATTTTCAGTTCCCTAAAGGAACATAAGAACCATGTTCATGACAGTGCTCATACTGTGACCCTGGAAATACAGCAGGCACTCCAACCCAGTCATATAAGGGAAGAAAAGCGCTTTGATTTCCCTCAGCTAAAATTCAGAACTCAGGTCAGGAAAGAGGAACTCTCAGTCAGGAAAAAGTCTAGATCACCTGATGATTTAATTTGGCAAAATGAATTACAAAATATATGTTTAAAGGTAATAAGCTAAAGAAATAGCTTCCCCATAATCTAACCATGGGCTTACATCACGAGGTTTTCTTCCAATACTTGCCCATAGGAAGGGATAAGTAATTTTTATAGTATTGCAGTCATAATGCAAATGTAAATTTTAGAACTAAACGTATGCTTGCAATGAAAAATAAATTGTAACATGGACAGACTGTAAAGACCAGTTAGCTTTCCATCACGTTAGTGATTCTGGCAATATTCTTTCTTTTTTTTTGTCTTTTTCTTCCAGTACCAGGAATCGAACTCATGACCTTGTGCTTGCCAGCCAGGCGCTTTGCCGCTGAGCTAAATCCCCAGTCCCTCTGGCAATATTCCTGTCAACCGAGAATGAAAGTAATCGTCTCTGTTTTAAAAAGGGAGAAAGAGGCATAAGTGAAGCAAAGCTAGTCTCTCAAGGTCAGAAGGAAACACAGAAGCCAGCAAAAGCTCTAAAAGTCCTCCCTCCCTTTCCCGTTTACTATCATGGCTCGAGACAGGGCCTTGGGTAGTCACTCTTCCAAAGTGGCCTTTCCAGGGTACACAACAGCATCTTTTCAAAACCTGAGCTTGGCATCGTTTGATTATTAAAGGAAAAAAGATGAATAAAGAGGGAGGCTAGAATCGTCAGCAGCAGTTAGAAACACTGCACTGTGTGCACACGGCAGTGTGGGTGGATTTGAAAATACATTGTCAATGAAAGTCGAAACGGAAAATACATAACCCCAAAATATTTATGTGCATTAAAAATACAGGCCCCAATTGATAAAGCACAAAGAGATAAAACACATTCAGATATATATTAGGAAGGGAAGATCAGAGACAGAGGAAGGAAGGAAAGAAGGGAGGGACGGAGGGAGGGAGGAAGTAGGCAAAAAGCGGCCTTGTGTGGAGCTATGCCAAAGTATGAGAACAAGACAGAGGAAAGACGCCAGCAAAATGAACAGCCACATTTGAAAACCTCAACTTCATGCTCCAAAGAAAAGGGTCAAATTTGGCTCCTTCCCCAATGCCTGATTTCAAAACAAAATAGGATTAAAGTGGATTCAGAGTAGAACTGTGGGCACCAAAGTGAAAAGACTTCCTAAAACATCCGTAGCTCATGCCAAAACAAGGCACAACCCCAGAACATAGCTACAAATAGTTCAAGATATGCTTTTTGTAACAAAAACTGGGGAAAATACGTGACAAAGACTATGCTGGGTGGGTAGAAACATAACAGTCCTCAACTAGCTGCTTCTGCGTGCTTCCAGCAGAGTTAAATATTTACTGTTAGTGATCAAATTAAAAATTACTTCAGCGAATGAACTGGACTTCCAGCCTCCCCAGTCCTCCTCATCAGCAAATACGATCTAGGTCTTTAACAGCCTTACCGCCTACAAAAAGAACAGAGGGCGCAAGCATCTCTATGGCCACTCCATGGGTACAATGTGGCTGCACAGCTTGGCTTCTCAAGCAGAGTCAGTGCTTTGCTGAAATCACATGAAAGAATGCCTGTTGGCAGGTTTTTCTAGAGGAAACCCAACTTTTTCTAGCTTTTCCAAGTGTCCTGTGACTCAACCCCAATAATTCAGAATCACTACTTATAAAAATCCATTTGTGGACTGGGTATGGTGGTGAATGCCTGTAATCCCAGCTCAGGCAGCTGAGGCAGGAGGATCACTGTGAGTTCGAGCCTGGCCTAAACTATACAGTGAGACCCTGTCTCAAAAATAAAGTCCATTTGTGAGTACATAAGGGTATGTATGCTACCTCTTCTCTCTATTTCTTTTTAGGTTTGAAATGTTCCACAATAAAAAAAATAATTTCTCCAAAAAAAAAGATAATCCATTCGATCCAACAAGGTCTATTACAAGAGACCATTGAGAAGACTAGGACGGCCATTGAAGATTATGCATAGAGCTGACAGCTTCTCATATCAAAACGCATCAGACTGAAATTGACAATATCATGAAGGAGATTTTCCCAAAGGGCCTAACCATCTGTAACTTCCCAGGTAGATAGAAACTCCTTTAAAAACTACTGGGTAATCTTTTCAAGAGCTGTAATGGACATTACAGTTGTCTGCCCATTTCTTTCCAATTCTCCCCACCGTGTGGCCACCTGACAATATGGAATTGGGGTGCTGGATGGGGTGAGTGGGTCTGCCTCGCCTCAGCTCCAGGTGTGGGCCCTGACTGGTTCAGGCTCCCTTCCCTGCCACAGTGACTGGTTTAAGCAATCCAGGACTGAGCCAATCAGAAAAACTGGAGCCAAAGGAATTCAAGCAGAGGCAAAGCATCCATTTTGGGCAGATGGAACAGTAGGGGAGGTACACCAGACACTGTCTAGAAGGACAGTTTCACTCTTCTGAAGCCACCAGAGCCTTAAAAAGCAAAGTGTCTCGGTTTCATTTAACCACCGTCTTAATAGCTAACTCTGAAGAAAACAGAATTGAAAGTGCAAAGGAATAGAGGTCTTAGTGACACTACTGAACCACCATCCTTTAAGTTAACTGAACCAAGAAATGACCTCCTTGTTCACTTAGTTGTAACTGGTTTCTTAATTACAGTCAGCCCTCCACAGGTTCCATATGCATGGAGTCAGTCAATGGAGGGTAAGAAATACTCAGAAGAAAAGACTGCCTCTGTGCTGAATGCATACAGACCATTTTCTACCTTCCATGCAAGGGCTGGGTTCCAAATGCTGCCTGCTCCTAAGTGCTGCTGACTATTCCCATTATAGCCTCGTCTTTCTCGGGTTAGGACAGCAAATCATCAGGCAGGACTGTGGGTAGCTGCCCGTGTTCTCTAAAAATAGCCATTTGCATGTATGGAGCAGCAACTATATACCAGGTATTATGGAAACATTAAGAAACCCTGCAAAATAGTTTTGCTTTTCCAGTTTTATAAAATATAGAAACTGAGGTCAAGGGCTCCCGGGCAAGTCAGGGAGCCAGCTTCAAATCCCCATCCGTGTGTCTCTGCCAGACACAGAACAGGGGAGCCACCCGTCTGGGTACACATCAGCTCAGCAAACAACCACGCACCTGCATTGAGCAGCACTTTGACACAATCCAGATGTTCCCGTGCACAGGCAACGTGCAGAGGGGTCCCAAAGTGGCAATCATGGGCTTCCAGATTGGCCCCAACGTCTATAAGAAGCCTCACACATTCAGAACTCCCTTAAAATAAATGGAAAAACATGAAAACATCGTGAATGTGAACATCAGGAATAATAAGCATGACAAAATGGCAGCTGGCACAGCTTGCCCTGTGTCTGGCTGAAGGAACAGAGGAGAAACAGCCTACATCCCAACCCAAGGAAGAGGCTGGCAGCCTGGACAGCCTCAGGAAGCCGCAGATGGTTCTCTTCTGCCCTGGGGCATGGGCTCGCTCCTGGCCGCCAGGCAGCTGGAGAAAAGGGCCATGGCCAACCTTCCGCTGGAGGACAAAAGGTCTGTGACACCTGTGGGAATAGCTGGGGAACTCTTGCCCGCTCTCCTCTCCAAGGCTGTCCCTGCACTGTTTGGGGGCATGTCCAGCCCACGGGAATGACACACAGCTGCAGGCGTCCCACTCCAGCCTCCCGGCCACGCCTCCTTAATGTGCAGGTTGCCACTCAGGGCCTCGCCTGCCTTTTTCCCGCTCCTCTTCCTGCATCTTCAGCGCCCCTTTGGATCAAGGTTCAGGGCTTGTGCTCTCTTCTCCTCATGTCCTCTTTGTCACTGGTTGCTACTCATTTCCACCTCCGGCCCTGACGTCTAGCTCCACACCTACAGCAATCTGCTGGCCAGGCTCTCTGGATATGTGACCACCACACAGTCACTCTTTCCTCTTCCCAGGGGTCCCTGCTCCTGCTACGCTCTTTCAGTCAGTGGCATCTCTCCCAGTTCCAACCTGACTTGTTTTTGAGACCGTGTAGCTCTCTTTATACCAAGTCCTACTGATTTTCCCCCAGACACTTTGAAGGAACCCTTCCCAAGCCACCACCCTACTTCAGGCTCTCAGAGCTCTGAGTCTGAATCATTTCGATGGTCTTTAACACATCGACTCACCACTCATGCAGGCCTCGTGAAGTGGGGATGCTGTGTACAATGGGGGATTGACTTTGGCCCCATAGGAGAGCAAGAGTTTCACACACTCGATGCTGCCTGAGGCGCAGGCATCACAGAGAGGGGTACTGCCATCGATGTTGCGGGCATCCACCTGGGTGGGGGAGAAGAAACAAATGTCAAAAGGTGAGATAGACATCAGGCAACTCGCTCTCTCATCTTCCTGCAGATTCACCTTTGAAAAGATACTTCTTAGAAGAGTTGGTTTGCTCTTAGTTACTAAGGCACCCGCTAGGCAAGGCAGTTCAAACAGAAAGACACACAGCTGGGGCAAGGTCCCTCTCAGCCTCCGAAGTACAGGTGTCCCACTTGGGGTTCTTATCTCAGGGAAGATCAGCCCAGCCTCACCCTTACTACCACTCGAAACTAAAAAGCACAGAGCAGAAAAGGAGACCCTGAAGTTGCAAGCTGGGGGAGGTCTAAAATGGGTCTTAACTCAAGCCTCAGGTAAAAGGAGTGTGGAAGCCTGCTCAGCATGCCTCCGTGCTGTCCAAACCACAGGCGAGGAAAAAGGCAGCTCCCCATCCTGAAACATTTCACTGAGAATTGATCCGAGTTGAGGAGGCAAAAAACATGCTGGAGGAAAGACAGCCTGTTTAACAATTGTTACTGGGAAAACTGGCCATCCATATGCAGAAGAATAAATACAGACCCATATCTCTTTCCATGTACTGAAATCAAATAAAAATGGAGCAAAGACCTAGATATAAAAACAAAAACACTAATCTTCTGGAAGCAAAAATAGGTAAAACTCTTGAAGACACAGAGATAGGCAAGGACTTCATGAACAGAACTCCAGTTGCACAGATATAATACCAGGAATCAACAAATGAGAGTGTATCAAATTAAAAACCTACATAGCAAAGGAAGCAACCAACAGAGTGAACTGATAACCTACAGAAGGGAAAACTCTTTTTGCCAGCTATGCCTCAAAAAAAGGACTAATATGTAAAATATGTAAAGAACTCAAAAAAATTGGATCCCCCCAAAATAAATGACAATCAAAACCTATGAAATAAACACTTCTCAAAAGTTACAAAATAATCAGTAAGTACATGAAAAATGTTCAGCATCTTTGAAAATTAAAAAAATGCAAATTAAAACAACACTGAGGTCTCATCTGATCTCAGTAAGGATGGCTATCATCAAGAACTCAAAAAACACAAATGCTGGTGAGGATGTGGGGAAAAGAAACCCATTTACAGTATATTACTGGTGAAATGTAAACCAGTACAACCACTCGGGAAATCAGTACGGAGATTCTTAAAAAAAGCTAAAAATAGGAATTCCATTTAGCCCAGTTATACCTCTTCTAGGCATTTTCCTGAAAGAGTTAAAGCCATCCTCTTATAGTGATATATGCATACCCATATTTACAGCAAAACAATTCACAATAGCTAAAGTATAGAAACCTGTATGTCAATCAACAGATGCATGGGTAAAGAAAATGTGGTATATATACACAATGCAACATTACTCAGCCATTAAAAAAATAAATTTGAGGGCTGGGGTATAGCTCAGCGGCACTGCATCTGCCTGGCAAGTGTGAGGTCTTGAGTTTGATTCCAGGTACATACATACATAAATTTGAGTTATTTGTAGGAAATGGGTAGATCTAGGGACCATAACGCTAAGTGCAATAAATCAGGTACAGGAGGATGTATACCATATAGTTTCCCTTACATGAGAAACACAGAATATTAATAATTTAAAGAGCAAAATAAAAGACAGATGGTAAGAAGCAGGGATGAAGACTGTGAAAATGGGAAGGGGCTCTGGGGAGAGGGAAGATGC